AACTTCAAACATAGTCGAGACAAATCGTATGGGGACGATTGCTCTACTATTCTTCGCAATGTTTGAATATGTGTTCGATTGTTTTCATGTTTGCTCCAACATCCGCTGGTAGGGGGCCATGCCCGACCTAAGGGAACGGAGGCGAGGACACAGCTACTGCTTCAGAGGGCTGGTGCGAAAGAGAAGAGGGTACGGGAGGAAGAAGGTGAGATGCCAGGAGTGTTGTGCACGCGCAGCTGTGTTATGATGGCAGGTCGGTGACAGAGGAAGGGACGGCGAAGGGAGTGGGAGAATGCGGGGGAGATAGACAGAGAGAGAGAGTGTGAAATGAATGGTCTCTGGATATGTCTAGCCTCCCGCACGCACCATGCAACCCCTTGTGTGAATTGTATGCATGAGTTCATATATGATTCCTGCGAGTTTCGTTCTCAAGTTTGAGGTTTCTCGGTTGCAAGGTTTCCGGGCCCAAATTCGGAGCGATATTAGTTGTTTGCAGTACTGAACAGCCTCCGTCTCAAACGCAACACCAAATATTCAACAGTCTTTTTCGCCAACCTGAGCTTGAAAATAACGTTATGTTGTCCCTCCGTCTACAACATCACACAGTACTCAACAACCTCAGTCTCAAACACAACACCCAATATTCCACAGGCTCCCTCCCCAGGACAAATTTGAACACGAACTCATACTCCCCCCCGGTCTACAACACAACACCCAGTGCTCAACAGGCTCCGCCTCCAACACAACACCCAATTCTCAACAGGCTTCCTCTCCAAGCTGAACTTGAACATACCTACCCAAACCCCTTCCGTCTACAGCACAACGACCAGTACTCAACAGACTCCGTCTCCGACACAACACCCAATTCTCAACAGGCAGCCTCCCCAAGATGAACTTGAACGTAACGTTCTACTCTTACCCATTCGTCTGCAACGCAACAACCAGTACTCAACAGCCCCCGTCCGCGACACAACACCAAAAACTCAACAGGCTCTCTCCCCAATATACACTTGAACATAGCCTTGTACTATCCCCCTTCCGTCGACAACACACACCGTGCTCAACAGCCTCCGTCTCCAGCGCAACACCCAATAATCAATACTGAACAGGCTTCCCCTAACGCTGAACTTGAAAATGACCTTATACCCTACCCCCCGTCTACAGCACAACACCCCGTACTCAGCAGACTCCGTCTCCGGCACTACACCCAATTCTCAACAGGCTCCCTCTCCAAGCTGAACTTGAACATACCTACCCAACCCCCTTCCGTCTACAGCACAACACCCAGTACTCAACAGACCCCGTCTCCGACACAACACCAATTCTCAACAGGCAGCCTCCCCAAGATGAACTTGAACGTACCTATTCATGCCCCTGCGTCTACAGCACAACCTCTAGTACTAATCATCTTACACAACAGCCACTACTCCACAGCCCCCCTGCAAAAGGTGAACTTGAACCAGCCTTCTACGCAATCCCGTCCGTCTACACCACACACCCAGTACTCAACGGCCTCCGTTTCCAAGGCAACATCCAATATTCAACACGCTCACTCGTCAAGCTGAACTTGACAATAACCTTCCTGTCTACCAGTTTGCCTACAACACACTACGCAGTACTCAACAGCCTCCGTTTCCAAGGCAACACCCAATATTCAAGAGGCTCCCTGCGCAAGCTGAACTTGAAAAGAACCTTCCTTTCTACCCCCCTCCCCGTCTACAGCACATTGCACAGTACTCGAAGCCTCCGTTCCCAAGACAGCACCACCAACAAGCTCCCTGCCAGAGTTGAACTTGGGAGCAACCTTCTACTCGACCCTTCCCGTCTGCAGCAACTACACCCGGTACTAACCAGCCTTCGTCTCAAACGCAACACCCGCTAATCCACATGCTCCCTCCCCAATCTCCACTTGTGAATAACATTATATTCATTTCACTCCGTCTACACCACACACCCAGTACTCAACAGCCTCCGCCTCCAACTCAACACACAATTCTCAACAGGCTCCCTCCCCAAGCTGAACTTGAAAATAGCCTTTTACTCCACCCCCTCCGTCTACAACACAACACCCACCCAGTACTCAACACCCTTCATCTCCAACGCACGAACCAACCCATTTCGAAGTATCCGCCTCCATGGCTGGCGCGCGCACCTGAACTGCCCTTTCTTCTAGCCATCTTCCAAGAGCAAAGGGGGGATCCATTGTGCGTGCGGAGACCTGTATGTGTATATATATATTCATATATTCATACAAGTGTGTGTTCTAATGAGAGAGAGAGAGAGGAAGGAGAACAAAACATATATACATATATGTAGAGAGAGGGAGAGAGAGAGAGAGTGGGAGAGGGAGAACTAGAGGGACAATGGAGGGCTCGCGGACAGTCTTGGGGGACCGTAGAGAGAGGGGAGGCGAAGAAGCGGTCGGGCGAACGGGGTGGAGGGACGAAGTCGTGTGGGTGTCAGTGAGCAGCGCGTTCCTTCCCGCAGGCTCTTCGACAACTCCATCCCGTTCCAGCTGACCGCGAACATTGTGCAGTGCCGATCGGCGGGGATGGGTGTGAGACGGTGTGAGCCAACTCCTCACTGACGGAATCGGCTCGAAACGTACAGTTAGCTTTGATTATTATGTCCACTTTGCCAAGTCAAGCGTTCCCTTGTGCTTGTCTTTAGAGGCCCGCGCCTTTTACATTCCTATGGCAATGCAGCCCTCAGAAGGGCCTTGTGTCCGATGAGTTTCCCAGAAGGAGGCTGCTTCTAGGGGTCGACGCTACGAACAGTATCGCCACGTCGGAGCCGGGAGCAGCTCCCCATGAGCGGGGTCGAGATGTCGGGTCGGCCCAGGTGTCACGGAGAGGTCGTGGCGCGCCTGATGCCTGCGTACGCCGTGTCGCCTCCTCGTCCTCCCTCTCGGGTTATATTCCTCGTCCTCCTCCTCCTCCTCCTTCTCCTCGGCCCCCTCCTTCTCCCTCCTCCTCCCTCCTCTTCCATCCTCCTCCTCCTCCTCCTCCTCCTCCTCCTCCTCCCTCCTCTTCCATCCTCCTCCTCCTCCCTCGCGCGTCCTCTCCAATCAGGCCCGGCTGCGCCGCTCGTCCCTCGTGACCTCGGCCGCCCGCCAGTGGGCCCCTCCGCCGCTCCGCCGTAGCAGAGCAGGGCAGCGAAGCGGAGCCGAGGTGCGCCTGCGTTCGGCCTTGGCGAGGGCAAAAAACACACACACACACACACACACACACACACACGCACACACACACACACACACACACGCACACACACAATGTGGGAAAATACACACACTGTGGGAAAACACACACACACACACGTGGGAAAACAACTCAAAAAACACGTGGGACAAACTAACACACAGTGGGGAAACACACACACACACACATAATAAAAACACACGCGCACACAGGGCAACCTTGCCAAACCAGAGAGCAAACGCTTTGACAAAAGTCAAGCCAGAGGTTTTTCGCCGTTTTGGGCCTCCAGGGGCCCTCGCCAGGCCTCGGGGCCGTCACGAAACGACTCGGGCCGAAAAACCAGTCCCGGGGAAAGGGTCGGGACTTCCGGGGAGCCCGCACTGAACAAATCACGACACCGGATCTTTGGGAAGGATGCCCTTACCAAGGGTACGGTAGGTCCACGTCGTGTCGACCTGCGGCGACCCCGCCGCCGGCGTTAAATGTTGAACGCCGCCAGCCACCCGGAATCGATCGATGTTGAACGATCAGGCGTTGCGGGAACGACCGATCGTTCAAGGTTGAGCGATCCCCGCGGTGTCAGGAACCATCGCGGGGTCTACACGACACGATTTTGTCGTATCATTAGACCCTTACCAAGGTCACCCTTGGATCCTTACCCTCGTAAGGATGCAAGGGTCCCCTTGCCAAGGGTGCCCCTGCGTCCTTACCAGGGTGTCCTTACCCGGGGTACCATTGGATCCTTACCAAGGACGGCCTTGGATCCTTACCCTCGGAAGGGTGCAAGGGTCCCCCTGCCAAGGGCGCCCCTGCATCCTTACCAGGGTGTCCTTACCCAGGGTACTCTAGGATCCTCGTTATGGGTGCCCATGGATCCTTACCCTCGTAATTGTGCAAGGGTCTCCTTACCAAGGGTACCCCTGCATCCTTACCAAGGGTGTCCTTACCAAGGGTAGCCTTGCATACGCAAACGGGTAATCTTACCAAGGGTACCCTTGCATCCTTGCCTCTTTGACCCATCCTTGACAACTCTCGATGGCCAGCCCCGCTCGAAAAGCTTATGCATCAGCGTTCCAGGGGCTTGCACCCTCATCGCGCATCCTTTCTACACGTTTTGATTGCAATGTAGAATAAACAACTACGTAACATTAGTGCTTCCTCCTCAGGCATGCCAGTGCGATAAAGGTCATGTTTCGGCGTATTGGTGGTCACTCTGCTACGGGGCGTGCCGACATGACATAACAGCCGGCGAGTCTGCAGAACGTCACATACATCACACCATGTAGAAGAAGACGAGCAGCGCGAGGAGCACTAAGATGAATATCATGAGCACCGTGCGCCAAGAAGTTGCATGCCGACATTACATAACAACCGGCGAGCCAGCACAACGCCAAGGATTCCGCTCTGCTCGTGCCTACTTGCCTTGAAATCTACGCATTGGCAGTCTATGCAAGGCTTGCTCAGATAAACGGGGCATTTGGAGCAGCATCTAACATCAAAGCACCGTTGGTGAGATGGCAGTCTCCTGAGACCGTGAGGACATTGGCATTTACCCCGAGGAGAACAAGCTAGAGGACCAGGAGGAGGAGGATGATCAGCAGGACAAAACGAGAGTGCGAGGAGGAGGAGGAGGAAGAGGAGGAGGAGGAGGAGGAGAAGGAGGAGGAAGAGGCATGGAACGATGAGGACCAGCGGGGAGGACCACGAGTGGGGAGAGTGGCGAAGGCGGGGAGGAGCAGCAGGAGGACGAGAAATCTGCAGAAGGAGGATCGGGAGAAGGCTGCCCAGGACGGGCCCGAGGACGAGGACGAGGAGAGCCGGAGGAGGCGGCCGTCCGCGGGCCGCGCGCCGCAGAGAGGCGGCCCTGCGCGCGGTGCTGCAGGAGGCCTTCGAGATGCTCCAGGCCTTCCACGCCTCCCTCGGCGAGAGGCCGCGGCCGCCGCCGCGGCCGCGACCGCCGCGGCCGCCGCCGCCGCCGAGGGCGCGGCCGCCCTCGCCGCCGACGAGGCCGCGGCCGTGGCGGCCGCTGGCCGCCGCGATCGCCGCCGCGGCCGTGGCTGCCGCCGCGATCGCCGCCGACGCGGGCCGCGGCCGCGGCGGCCGCCGAGCCAGCCGAGCGTGCGCGGGGGCGCGCCGCCGCTGCGCGGCCCTGACGCGCGCTGCGGGGGCGCTGTGCGGTGCTCGAGGCGCCTCTCGGCAGGAGCAGCCGCCAGGGGCAGGGAGGGAGGGAGAGGAGGAGGAGGAGGAGGAGGAGGAGGGGGAGGAGGAGGAGGGGGAGGAGGAGGAGGAGGAGGAGGAGGAGGAGGAGGAGGAGGAGGAGGAGGAGGAGGAGGGGGAGGACGGGGAGGACGGGGAGGAGGAGGAGGAGGAGGAGGAGGAGGAGGAGGAGGAGGGGGAGGAGGAGGATCCCAAAAGCCTTGTCGCCTCGCGTCGTAGGGCAAACCACGACGGGAAGTCTTCGGCCGTCTTCGGCCTCGCCTGGGCCCTCGCCAGGCCCGGGGACCGTCCAGGAACGACTCGGCTCGGAAAGAGGCATGCTTAAGTCGTGCCTGTCCCCTTACAGGGGGATTTTCGACGAACAATAACAAATACCCCCAAATAATCAAAACATAATCCAAACATAGTCTTGGGACTATTTGTCAGAATGTTTTGACCTTTTTGGGGCATGTTTGGGGTATTTTTCATTTTTTTGAAAATCCCCTTATAGGGGGACACGCTCGACATAAAGGCAGGTCCTGGCGAAAGGGTCGAGACTTCCAGGGGGCCCGCATGGAAAACACAAAAACAAGACGTCCCAATATTATATCGTGGGAGGAGAGGGCCGAGAGGGAGCAGGGAACAGGCAGGATCCGAGGCGGGGATCTGTCCATGCCCACAGCCTGGGCCTGGGCAACCAGTCGTCGTGGATCTGGGGGTGCGGTGGACATGGCCCCGCGTGGGGCCCAAGTCTATCAGTATCCACCGCCCCCCTTTGGGTCTTAGAACATCGGTTCCCCCGGCGGTGGGTATGGATAAATCCCTGCCTCGCACATGAGGGAAGGGGAAAAAGGTTTTGGGCTCCAGAGGAGGGTCCATTCAGGGCGTTCCAGGGGGATCCGGGTGGTTCTAAAGGTCTCTGTGTCTTTGTATGAGTGGTCCTAATGGGTCGTGTGGAGATCGCTCCTCCTCCGTCATCCCTCCCTCTAGGGCCCCAGAGGCTCAAAAAACAAGCGCCCAGAATGGATGGAGCCAGGTCCAGAGTGGAGATTGAACCTTCATTTGAAAGTTTTTGAGCATCTGGGCTCTACCCTCTCCCCCCTCCTCCTGGGGCTCGGAGGCCGCCTTACTGCCTCCCTCCGGACTGATCCTCAGATCGCACTCCGTCTGCTTCAGTGCGAGAGGCTGTTCAGACGAGCGCACGCGGCGCTCAGGCCAGGGCGACCTGTTGAAAACGGGCCGCAGCCGTCTGAGGAGGAGGAGGAGGAGGGGGAGGAAAAGGGGGAGAAGGAAATGGAGGAGGAGGAGGAGGAGGAGGAGGAGGAGGCCGCAACGTTCCGAAGGCGATCGGGCCTTCGACCGCGCCGCTGCGGCACGCTTTCGCGCCGTCGCCTCCGCGCGGCGCCGCGGCGAGGGCCGCCTGTGCCGAGCACGCCTCGCCCTCCGCTCCCGTGTGGCTGCTGGAGGCCTCCCGCGCGCCGCATCGCGGGGGCGGGGCCGCGCGGCGGGGCGTCCTGGCCGCGCGAAGGCGCTAGCCTTGGCCACGAGCGGGCAGCGGGCACGGCGTCGGCTCGCGGGGCCCACGGCCCTCCTTCTCCTCCTCCCCCGAGGAGGAGGAGGAGGAGGAGGAGGAGGAGGAGGAGGAGGAGGAGGAGGAGGAGGAGGGGAGGAGGGGGAGGGGGAAATGATGATGATGATGATGATGATGATGATGATGATGATGATGATGCTGATGATGATGATGATGATGATGATGATGATGATGATGGATGGTGGTGGTGGTGGTGGTGGTGGTGGTGATGATGATGATGATGATGATGATGATGATGATGGTGGTGGTGGTGGTGGTGGTGATGATGATGATGATGATGATGATGATGATGGTGGTGGTGGTGTGGTGGTGGTGATGATGATGATGATGATGATGCTTATGATGATGATGCTGATGATGATGATGTGATGATGATGATGATGCTGATGATGATGATGATGATGATGATATGATAATGATGATGATGATGAGGAGGAGGAGGAGGGAGGAGGAGGAGGCGGAGGAGGAGGAGGGAGGAGGAGGAGGAGGAGGAGGAGGAGGAGGGAGGAGGAGGAGGAGGAAGAGGAGGAGGAGGAGAAGGAGGAGGGGGACGCCTATGCATGTACCTCTCCCTTTCCCTCCCCCTCGTGGCCTCCTCCCCTCTCCTGTGTGACGCTGTGCGCAAGACCGGAGTGATACGTTTGGGCCGAAATTCGTATCATCGGCCGGCTGGGAGGGCATGTGCAGTGAAGCGACGTGCACCCAGCATGCACCCGTCTCCGCCTCTTCCCTCGTTTATCCCCGTCGCGAGCGTTTTGTCGCAGAAGCGCTGGCTCGAGTAACAATTGTGGCAAGGCGTGTTCAAAGACTAGTCACTCGAGCGCCCAATGGCCAGCGTGGAAAAATACATAAACACCAGTGCTGTCACATCGGGGCCAGCATGACGGAGGCAAGGGGCGGTGCATCGTTGGCATCTTCGTCTTTGCTTTCAGCATTTGTTCATATCCCTTCAGATCTGGGGGAGGTGAGGTGGAGGAGGAGGAGGAGGAGGAGGAGGAGGAGGAGGAGGAGGAGGAGGAGGAGGAGGAGGAGGAGGAGAGGGGGGGGGAGGGGGAGGAGGGGGAGGGGAGGGGGAGGAGAAGGAGGAGGAGGAGGAGGAGGAGGCGGATACTGGCGGAATACACAGCCTTAAGGGTGGCTGGTCCTTGTGTGGCGTGGCGCCGTGAACGAAAGGGGCTGGTATGCTGCCCCTGTCGGAGGGGGCAGAAGAGGCGGCCACCATTCGAGAAATAGCTGTCGAGGGCCACTGCTTGGGCAAGCGAGGGGATAGTAGAGTCGGAACTTGGGTGACTGCACTGGGGCCTCCAGCGAGAAACTGGGGGAGAGCGAGAGAATGTCGGGTAGGAGCGAGGGGTATGATGGTGGATAAGCCGATGACGGGGGACAGGGAGAGGGAGGGCGAGGCAAGACCAGAGAGGGAGAGAGAGAGATGGAGAGAGAGAGAGAGAGAGAGAGAGAGAGAGAGAGGGAGAGGGAGAGATAGGGAGCGAGACGAAGAAGTGCGGCGGTGTAGAAACTATTCGATGGGAAGTAGGCGAATGTGTGATGCCACCATATTAAGAACATTCAGTATGGATTGGTGGCTTAAGAAGATGCCTCGCATGCGCTAACAAGAGAATGCAGATAAGATGTGGTGAGCTGTTGTGGTACATATGGAGGGTTGTGCGGGTGGCCGGGTAGCAGGGGCAGGAGGGATAGTAGCAAGAGGGATGGGAGATGGAGACGACCGGCGTTGGGGGAGGGCGCGCGCAGAGAGATAGGAGGGGGCAGGGAGCCCAGAGAGGGAGAGAGAGAAGAGGGAGAGAGAGAGAGAGGGAGAGAAAGGGAGCGAGACGAAGAAGTGCGGCGGGGTAGAAACTATACGATGGGAAGTAGGCGTATGAAGATGCCACAATACTAAGAACATTCAGTATGGACTGGTGGCTTAAGAAGATCAAATAGGAAGCACGACTGTAATTCTCTGCTACCCAGCGGGGGGGAAATTCGTTACGTTTCCCCCCCTGGCAGACCGAAATTCGTAACATTTTCGTTGCTCCGCCCCGAGCCTACTACAAGTTTCGACTCCAAAGGGGCCCATGGAGGCGGACAAATCATGCCCCCCTTCGCTCTTGGGGAGCGCACGTGCCACGCAGGGCTCTCACCAGACGGGGATGGCCACCAAACATGCTTTCGCGCGTGCTGGGTTAATAAATCCTCTGGCGCGATTGCTCTGCCACGCATGCGTTAACAAGAGAATGCAGATAAGATGTGGTAAACTGTCGTGGTACATATGGAGGATTGTGCGGGTAGCCGGGTAGCAGGGGCAGGAGTAGCAAGAGGGATGGGAGATGGAGACGACCGGCGCTGGGGGAGGGCGCATGCAGAGAGATAGGAGGGGGCAGGGAGATGGGAAGGAGCTCGGGTTTGGGGAGGGCGGGGGCAGGCCGACAGGAGGGTGCAGGAAACGAGGAATGAGATCTGGCGACTGACGCGATGAGTGCGCGTCGGGATTGCGGGTGGGGTGTCCAACCAGGGATCAAGGGCCTGTGTGCCGGCGGTGGCAGATGCACACAATGACTGCAGGGTATGTTTCACACCGCTCTGTAGACGCGCCCAAAAATTGGAGGCAACTGGGAGACGGTCGGGTCTCGACAGGGAACGCCGTGAAGCCAGCGTTTCGTGCGACCCCTCTCAATCTCCTCCCGTGGGGGCGTCCGAAGAATGGGGCAGTACAGGGTGGTGACGAAAGTGGAGCCCAAACAAATTCTTGCCGCCCTGGGCGGTTGTAGAGCAGGTGGGTCAAAACAAGCGGGAGGAATAGCGGGAGGGGCCGCTGAAAGGGGCTGGGATGCCCGCGCCTTGGTCTTCCCAGGCGGTGGTAGGGGTAGCGGGATGAGCTGGGAAGAGCAAGACAAGCAGGGTAGCACAATGGCCGAGAAGGACGGGGTAGCAGCAATGAAGGCAAGATGCAAGAAGGATTGCTGGTATCGCCCCAGCTCCCTAACCTGAGGGGTGCTTGTGAGGGTGCTCATCGGGAGTGCGAGAAGTGCACTCCCTTACCAGCGCCCCGTGCGTCCCTCACAAGAGTCGAACCCCATAGGCTGCGGGAAGCCATCGGCACGGGGAGGAGGAGGAGGAGGAGGAGGAGGAGGAGGAAGAGGAGGAGGAGGAGGAGGAGGAGGAGGAGGAGGAGGAGGAGGACGAGGACGAGGCCCAGGCGCCCGCTGCCTCGACCGTTTCTGTACGGGCGCCCTGGGAGTCCTCGACCCCTGCCCTGGAGCAGCTTCTCGTCCCGAGGCCGTCTCTGACGGCCACGGGTTAAGTCGGGCCTGTCCCCCTACAGGGGGATTTTCGACGAAAAATATAAATACCCCAAAATAATCAAAAAATAATACAAAAATAGTATGTGGACTATTTTGGGGGTCTAGTTTGACCTGTTTGGGGTATTTTTGGGGTATGTTTGTCGTCGAAAATCCCCCTGTAGGGGGACATGCCCGACATAAGCCTCGGGGCCCGGCGAAGAGGCCGACCATTGCCGGCACAGGTCCGTGTGGGCGGTGCCCCTTCTGTTGTGGAGTTCCAGGGCAAGGGGGTTCTGGTGGTGTTCTTGGGCGCCCAAAAGAAATTGCGCTTCCTCGAGGAAGCCGCGACTCCCCAAGTGGTGATTCCCCTTGGCATGCCCCAGGGGGCTTCTCGGTGCCGCGCAGGGCGACGCTCTGTTCAGTTTACGGCCATCACCTAGGCTGCCCAAGGCATCCTGAGTACAGTCGGGCCGCGTCGTTGGGGAGGGGTTCAGTGCTTCTTCATTGTTGTATGTTTTTTTTCGCAGTTTGTCTTTAGGTTTGAGAAATCGAGGTTCAACCAATGGAAAAACTGGGGCCTCGTTCCTATTCAGGGTTTATCATGACAGCGTCTCGACCGTAAGCGGTTCTCTTCTGGTGGTCTCCGTCGTTTTGTCCCCGCAGAGCGACTCGATTGGAACTGGGTCTTCTAGGGGACCACATTGACATAAGCATACAAAATTCAGGGGCCTGCGCGGATTCCTCGGGTCGGCGCTGGACCCCCCACTCCCTGGCGCCAGGGGAGGCGCGGGAAGTGCCGCCGGGGGGGCCCCACCGCCGATCTGGGGAACCCTTGCGGGCCTCCAGGTCTTCATGTTTATGCCATTGTTTGAGTTTCCCTGCGGCCCGTACCCTGGAGCGACACGGTAAGCCCAGCACACTTTGCATTGCTGCCAGGACGTCTTGTTCTTCTTGCAGGAAGTGCACAGCCAATGGCCCCCTTGAGCACGCGGCCGCTGGCCTCCCTGAGCATGTGGATTCGGATGCCACCAAGGCACGTGGCCCCAGTCGCGCCTTCGGGACCAGGATGGCCCCGTCTCAGGGCTCCCGATGAGCACCAGTTTCTAGCCTGCCGGCTTTGGGCAGCGTGAGGCCGGGCATGCTGGGCCGACAGGGAAGGGGGGGAGTGAGCCCGCGCGTCGCCGCCCAGGAGCGCGCGGCAAGTAGCGCGTGGCGCATCGCGGACCCCCCCCCGGCGCAGCGCCAAGCGCCTTAGGGAGGGCGACCAGACGACGGCCCAAGACGGCCGTAAAGAGCCCCAAGAGGTCCCAAATGCGGCCCAGTCCAGATGGGCACCCAAGACGGCCTCCGACTGCGCCAGGAGTCCCGACCGAGACGTCCCAGGAGGGCCCCAAGAGTTCCGCGAGAAGGCCCCATCTCAGGGAGACGCGCAGGGAGGGCGACGACACGGCGGTCCGCGCCGCAGGCGGCACTTCGCCTCGCCCTTCGAGGTGATCCACCGCTGGGCCCTCGCGACCGCACCCGGGCTGCCGGTGGTGATGCTCGGGGGGCACCGCCCCATCGTGGAGTTCGTGGAGAGGCACAAGGCGGGCGACGGGAACGAGGGAGGAGGAGGAGGAGGAGGAGGAGGAGGAGCAGGAGGAGGAGGAGGAGGAGGAGGAGGAGGAGGAGGAGGTGGAGGATCGATGAGGGGGAGGAGGAGGATGATGATGATGAGGAGGAGGAGGCGCAGGACGAGCAGGAGGAGGAGGAGAGACGAGGACGAGGAGGAGGAGGAGGAGGAGGAGAGGGAGGAGCAGGAGGAGGAGGAGGAGGAGCAGGAGGAGGAGGGAGGAGGAGGAGGGGGAGGAGGAGGAGGAGGAGGAGGAGAGGAGGAGGAGGAGGAGGAGGAGGGGAGGAGGAGGAGGAGAGGAGGAGGAGGAGGAGGAGGAGGGATGAGGAGGAGGAGGAGGAGGAGGAGGAGGAGCAGGAGGATCGATGAGGGGGAGGAGGATGAGGAGGACGAGGAGGAGGAGGAGGAGGAGGGAGGAAGAAATGGAGGGGCTAGGACAAGCTAGGTGCCCGTGCGTCATATCTGACGTCCTACCCCTCCCTCCCATCCTTTACCGTGGCGTAGATCTCCTCCCGATTCGCACGGCATAGCATGGCGCAGAAGAGCACGGCAGAGCGTAGCATGTCATAGCATGGCGAGGCATTGCATAGTGAAGCATTGCAACGCAAAGCATTGCAACGCAAAGCATGGCATCGCAGAGCGACACAGAACACAACACCGCATTGCATGTCATGGCACGGCACCGGGTTCCTCGGAGGGTAAGTGAATCATCTTCGAGAGGTCTGGGGCGGTCTGGAGTCACGGCTCCATGTCCAGCCCCCTGGGTTCCCCGCAAAGCTCACCACGAGGCGGGGTTGATGGAGAGTACCCGCTGGCCTTGCTTTGAACATCGCCTTCTCAAAGCAGAAACGGGGCTCCCGCCTGATACTTCCTCAAGGCGACGACGCCCCAAAGCGGGGGGGGGGGCCTTCTGCGGCCCAGAAAGTCAACGAATCGGCACCACATGTGTAATCACGTCGGATGTTTTTTTCAGGGGTCATGTTCTATATGTTTGGCATATCTTGAAGGACCGAAAACGCCCGCGCTGCAGCGGAAACACGATTGGGAACAACCAGAGACGCAGAAATGGGGCCAGCGTTGCAGCGTGAACAACGTTTTGAAGGACCGAGATGAATCGGATGACGCAAACACATAGGAAAAACAACTCACAGGAACCCTGTGTGTAACAAACAGTACGCGGAGGGGGGCCGAACATCTTCCGGACAGACTCGGGGGAGAGAGGAAAGTAGGAATTCTTGTCATCCCTGAGCTTTCCCATTTACTCCACCTCGTTTTCCCATGTTGTGTTCCACGTCTTCCTCCTTCACCATTTTAACCTCCTCCTTTTCCTTCTCCTCCCACCTTCGTCTTCTTCGTAGCCTCGCCCTCCTCGTCCCTCTCCTCAACCCTCCTCCATATTTTCCTCCTCCTTCTCTTCCTCCTCCTCCTCCTCCTCCTCCTCCCTCTCCTCTCGTCCTCCCTCTCCTCCTTCTCCTCCTTCTCCTCCTCCTCCTCCTCCTCATCCTCCCTCTTTAACTCCTTCTCGGTGTTTTCCCCCGGCCAATCCCCCCTGCCTTCTCTTCCTCCTACGGTTCCCCAGGCAGCAGCTCCCTCGCGGGGATCTGGCGGCTCGGCCGGTGGCACGTTGCCCCCCGAGACCTTTCGACCCTTTCCGCTGGCCAGCTTCGCCTTCCGTGCCGTGTTTTTGACGCGCCGGCCGCCTCGACGGCGACGGCGAGGCAGCGACTTCCAGAGCTCCCAGGGCGGCTTCCGAGCCGCCTCCTGGGGCGGCGGCGACCTCCAGTGTTCCCCAGGGCGTCCTTGGAGGTCCCGGGAGGCCTCCAGGGGCCCCTGGAGGCCAAACCCTTTCCCCAACACGTCCAAGAAGCGTTGCCTCCTCAAGCAGGAGACCGGCATGCCAGCAGGTGCCCCCGCAGAAGCCTCTTATCCCCCGATGGCCCAGGGACCCACAGAAGCTCTGGGGCACCTCGGGAATCTCCAAGATCGACGAGTAATCGACCCCCTTCGCGGGATGCGAGGCGTCATCGACGCATTCACTGATCCGCCTGATCCACCCTCCTCTTCTCCTCCTCCTCTTCCTCCTCCTCCTCCTCCTCCTCATCATCATCATCATCCTCCTCTCAAGTTTTCTTGTAGCAAGATTTCTTACCGTATGTGCCTATTGTACCCTCCATCCTCGAACCTCGAGGAGGACCTCGCCTGCACGACGGTCTCTGGGTGCAGGAAGCGCGCCGACTCCACTTACGGCAAGGCGCTGCCGTTCGGCAGATACCGCACGCTGCGCGCCACGCTCCGCGTCCTCCCCATCGATCCTGATTGATCCTCCTCCGCCTCCTCCGCCTTCTCCTCCTCCTCCTCCTCCTCCTCCTCCTCCTCCTCCTCCGCACCCTCATCCTCGATCCTTAGACATCCTCGGAGATCCTCCCCCTCCTCCTTCTCGCTCATCCTCTTCCTCCTCGCTCCTTCTCGCTACCCTCCTCCTCCTCCTCCTCCTCCTCCTCCTCATTTTCCTCCTCCGTATCGATCCTCCTCCTCCTCCTCCTCCTCCTCCTCCTCCTTCTCCTCCCCAGTCCTGTCCTCTGGTGGTCTCTGGGGCGGGGGGGGGGCGGGCCATGCGCCGAGAAGAAGATCTGCACCCGCGAAGTCTAGGCCGCAATGGCTTCGGGTGCCAGGGAAACGGGCGCTGCACCTCCCCGACATGATCGCGTCGTAAAAAAGTCAGGACGGACGTTTTTGGCTTTTGTTCGGCCCCCGGGTGCCCTCGGTGGTCCTCGGGACTATCAAAAAACGACCCAGGACGAAAAACGGGTCCCTAGGAAATGGTCGGGACTTCCAGGGACGCCGCCCTGAAAAAATCAGGACGTCGCATGTCTGGGCTTCCTGCCTGGGATACGTGGGATCGCGGCGGCGGGGCCCGGCTAAGCGTCAGCAGTGGGGCATCAGGTGCACGAGGCCCTGCGACGTGTACTGTGGCGGCGCGTCCGGGGTGGCTCGCAGATCCAGGAATGCACGGGGGGAGATTTAAGTCGGGCCTGTCCCCTACAGGGGGATTTTCCAAGAAAAATGCAGAATACACCGAAAATGAGCAAAAAGCAATGAAAAAATAGCCTGGGGACTATTTTTGAGTATTCTTTGACCATTTGGGGGTATTTTTGGTGTATTGTTTTATTTTTCGTCGAAAATCCCCTGTAGGGGGACACGCCCGACTTAAGGCGAGATGTGTTCTCGGGAGCAGCGGGCAACCAGCAAGCCACGGGGGGATCAGCAGTCCATCGGGTCAGCCGCCCGGTCGGTGCCGGCCCAAGGGCCCACCACACGCAGACTGCATCGTGCATGTCACGCACGTTGTGCTGAGAATCCGAGTGTGGTCAATATTGTCACGGCGAAAGTGTAATTCATGAGTCATGTCAGAGCCCACCATTCTCGTTTGAAATGGGCTGGGAGGATTGTCGATGAGGCTCGGCCGGGTGATTGGGACATCACGCTTACATCAGAGATTCATGCTCCAGACATCAACTGCGAGTGTATTGTCCGCGTGGAGGTGTGATTGCTCGGAGTGCCGCTGTCATACTCAACCCGGCGGTCGCCAAGCAGTGGTGGGAGCAGCACGCGGCGCCAACCTTGTCGCCATCAGGCAGTTCCGTCGCCCTATATATCATTATTGGTGGTCGGAAGTCTGCTTTTACTGTTGTGCACGCTCCGCACGCCGACCGGCCCGCATCCGAACGGGAGGCGTCCCGCGACGAGCTGACGACCCTCCTTGCTGAAATCCCTGTGGGCACGGCCCGGATTGCGGGAGGCGACTGGAATGTTTCTGTTCATGCCGATATGGCTGCTCGGCTCGGTTGCGGGACCCGCCTGCTGCACGGGAGCACGTCTGCGCACGCTCAAGGCGTCCTGGGGTGCCTGAGCGACAGTGGTCGGAGCCATCTGGATTCGCACCTGGCCACCAGGCATCGTGCGACATTCCGCTTCCCTCAGCAGGCGATGGCCGCGAACCGGTGGCGAGATTGCGACTACTTCGCCACGGGCATGCCCTGTTCGGCCAGTCTCTGGTGCCAGCTGCGGACAAGAGCCCTGCCATTCGGGGATTTATTCTTCAAGAGGGTCCGTCTCCAGCTGCCTGCGGCGCCTGGGGCCAAGGAACGCCGCCTGGCACTGTGGCACGAGGCCTCTTGGGCATTGTCCAGTCTGGCTTTGGTGACAGAGTCCGCCAGGTGGGCCCCGTTCGGCGCGAGTGGATGCAGGGCCCCTTTGCCGCAGCCACCGAATTGAGGGAGCAGTGCTCCACGGTTGCCGACGCTGCACTCGACGCCTGGGGCGCGCCAGAGGAGGAGATCGCCTGGGATGACCTTGCTCCGGTGCTCAGGGCCTCCGCCGAGGTCGTCGTCGGCCGTTCCGCGGGCGTCGAGACAGAATGCCCCTTTGTCGCCCAGCTGCGTGCCATTGGTCGTCAGAATGGTGATGAGCGGCGGCTGGCCTGGGACGCCGCGCGCCGTACCTGCGGCGCGCCCGGCGAGGAGGCCGCCGTGGCCGCCCACCGAGAGACCCGCAAGAGGCATCGGTTCGAGCACCGCCAGGCCAGGGCACGACTTGTCAAGGAGGTAGCTGCCGACTCGACTGGGCAGCGGCTGACAATGACACAGGAGCGCTGTACCGAGGCCTGCGCCGGCTGGGCGCGTGGCTGAATGACCTGGCCCCCGCGGAGGCCCTGCCGTTCACCCCCAGGGACGCTCGGGGCCACTTCCTGAAGCTGGACGACGCCGCTCCGACGGTGGACGCTGCTGCGCTGGACGCGGTCCCGCTGCGCGTCTGGCGAGACGCCTTCCCGCTGGGCATGTCTGACCTTGCGGAGCCTCCCTCGGCTGACGAGGTCCGCGCCGCAATTCGTGCGATGCGGGATTCTTCCCGGGGGGCGACGAGATCAGCATCGGCATGGTCCGGGCCGCCAGCGCCAGGGTCCAGAAGCATGCCATCCGCCCGGCGCGGCAGATGCGGGTCGCCCCGCCAGCCGCGTGGCGGGACCGCTTCGGCGACACGCCCTCCCTGGGGCTGCAGATCCTGCTGTTCAAAAAGAAAAGCCGTCGGGCGGATTTGAAAAAAATACACGGGTATACGCATCTTGCCGACGCTGCCGCGGATCCTGGCGAAGACGGCGGCCACCCGCCTGGCCCGTTCGGCAGAGGAGGCAGGCGTTCTTTTCAATGCCCAGCGGGGGAACCGCAGGTACCGGTCCACCCGCGACGCCATTTTGGCGGCGATGGCGACAATTGAGGAGGCGACCAGGCTACCCCGTGCGCCTGGCGAGGACACGCTCTGCACGGTTATGGTCGACATGATGAAGGCGTTTCCTTGTGTCCCTCGCTTTCTGCTGCGCGCGGCCCTCCTGCGCCTGACCCCCCTGAGACCCTCGTGGACCTGGCGCTCGGCCCACGCGACGTCGCGGACTATGTCGCGCGGGCGGCGGCGGGCGACTCCGACCCCTACTGACTCGCCCGAGGGGCGCGGGGGGGATGCCCGATCTCTGTCTTGCTCTTCGCGCTGTACCACGTGGCGGCCATGGCCGCGACCCTGCCGAAGCTGCCCACCCAAGACCCAGGTCAAGTACGACCCAGAGCGGCCCCTCCCGAGGGCGCCGCCCGCAGCGGCCACGAAGCAGACTCTCGCGCTGGACGCGCCCTGCTATTTTGACGGCGCGTCCGCGCAGCAGGAAAAGCGCCACCTGGCTGTCACAGAGCACGTGGTCCGAGACGGCCCGCGGGCTTTCGGCTCTCAGGTCCACCCGGGCAAGACAGAGCGCTGCCTCCCGCGCGGCGCGGCCCCGGCCACGGACGCCGAGCCCGCCTGGCAGCCCGCCGCGAAGCTGCTCGGTGCCCGGTTCGACGCGGACGGCTCGTGCACCTCTGACGACAGCCGCCGCTTGGAGGCTGCCCGAAGGGCTTGGCGGGCCTTCTGGAGGCAGATGCCCGGGCTCGGGTTGACCGCGCGGCAGCGGGGCTCCATTGCGCAGGCAGTAGCCATCTCCAGCCTCCCCTACGGCGCGGGGGCGAGGTCGAGAAGCGCGAAGCGATTGAAGAGCTCTCGCAGGCAGCGCTCGCCCAGGCGAGCACCCGCCGCAAGCACGGGCACCACGGGGAGCTGCTGGTCGGCCTGCCAGTTGGCATCCCTTTCTCATTTGGCGGAGGGCACGGCCAAGGCGCAGGTGCGCGAAGGGGGGGGGCGCTGGGGCGCGCGGCGGCGAAGGGCGACGCGACCCTGGCGAACCAGTCGGCCGCGGCAGCGCCACAGGCGGGCAACCCCGCGCCGCTGGCGGCCCCCCGCGGCAGCGGCGCGCTCGTGAGAGTTGCTGTCGAGGAGCACGGCGCCAAGGTGGGCGTCGGCAAGGTCGAGACGGCTGAGACTGGCAAGCCCGCGGGGGCGCCGCAGTCGGAGCACGGCGAGATCGACGCCCCTGCGCCGAAGGTCGTCGACGCGGCCGAACCCGCGCCGAAGGGCAGGGGCGAGGCCGCGGACGCGGGCAAAGCCGAGGGCGAGGGAAGTGCAGGCAGAGGGGCCGGCCCTCGTGGAGGGACCGCCGCAACGAGTGGTCAGGCGCGAGCGCGAAGGAGAAGAAGGCGCGTGCCGCGGCAGTCGCCGCAGCACGCACTGAGAAGAATGCGTTGGCCGAGGCCGTCCGCGCCGCGATTGTGCAGCGGCGGCGCGTGCTCGGCGCGCAATGACTTTTCTCGCGGCTCTTTCCAGTGGGGCGCGCGGCGCTGTTGCGGCGTTTCTGGGATGGGCGGTAGTGCGCGCGGGCCCAGCCTGGGCCAATGGCGTCGTTGACCCATCGCCACAACAAAATCACGATCGTCATCGTCAGCGCCAGCGCCGCCACCAACGGCGATACATTGCCAACGTCGGCGTGGATGAGACGGGCTCCATACAGAGCCGCATCGCCGATGCAGTGGCGACGCGGCGCGAACCTCCGACCCCGTCTACTCGGACCCCATCTGGGAGGGCTGGAGAAGAGAAGACATCCCAGCGCCCGCGGACCCCGGGCAACTGGCGGCGTTTGGGGGGGCGAAAAGACGCCGATGCCGCTGCTCCCCGGACCTCACCCAGGGCGCGCTGTTACCAGCCAGGCGCGGCGGCGAGGGCCTCGCGGGAGCCCCGGGAGAGCGAAAACGAGGGGTAGCGGCATCGGCGTTCGCTTCCTCTTCTGACGTCTGTTCTTCAGCGGCCGCTCTGGGAGCGCCGCCGCGCCAGCCCAGCGGCGCACCTGCCGCGCGCGCTGTTCTTTCCATGTTCTGAAGCAGTTAATTGGGGACTGTCGCGTCATTTCTCTGGCTCTGGCGAATCCGCGATAGCTGGCGCTAGTCGACGCTGCGTCGACGCTAATCGTCGCTGCATTGGCGCATTCTCACCGACTGCCAAAAGCCAGCGCCCGCGAGCGCGCATCATCGCCTTTGCCGCCGTGACCGCCATCGACGACGCCGCCTTCATCGCAGCGCTTCCGTTTTGCCGGCATCCTTCTAGCAGCGCGGCGCCCGTTCCACCTGCTTGGACGGGCGGGGCATCCCAGCCAGGCCAACATGACGAATCATGATGTCTTAGTCTCGAAGACAAGGCTCGACGACGTAGCCGCCCACATCAGGTGGGCGCGACGCAGATGATACAAGCCACCTTGGGTGCGCAAATCCGGGGGCGTGACCAACGTGGAGTGCGCCTCTTTTTGCAAGTCCTGGCCCAACGGTTGGGAGGGCCACTTTGCCGTGTAGCACTTCAGCATGCGCGACCATTGGGAGGACCGCGCGCTGCTCATCGCGCCGCTCCGGGCGCCCTGCGGCCCTGTGACCTCCCTGAGCCCAAGAAGAATCGCAACAACATCAAGCTGAGCGTTCGACTCGCTTTCATCCTGGACGAGCGCGACGAGCTGATGCCTGATGCCCGAGAGACACTGCAGCATAACGAAGCCTCCGCGTGACCGAGAATAACCTCGTCAAGAAGCGCCGCGAGGTGTTCGCGGGGAACAAGGGCGACTGCAAGGAGTTCTATGAACAGTTTGGGAAGTGCCTCAAGCGGAGCTCATGCGCTACGACGCTGCGACGCCCGGAGATTCGACGATCAGCCTGAATATTCCTACCGCGTGCAGGATGGGCAAAACGACATCTACTACACCAGGGGGGAGAGCATCGCAGCGGTGTCGTCCTCGCCGTGCTTGGAAACGCTCCGCAAAAAGGGTCGTGAGGTCCTCTGCGTTCAATTCGGATTGGTTTTATCTGCGTACTGTCCACCTCGCATGGCGTGAGCGGCGTCTTGCGGTCGGTCAGTCCCCGGGGGCCCCGCGCGCCTTCCCCCTCAGGAATCTCTTGGCTCTATGGAGGGGCTGCAGTCATGGGGGGGGGGAGTGCCAGTGAGCCTCACGTTTTCTGTGTTGTGCACGCTCGTGTGGTGTGTTGAGATGCAGAGCTTGTGGGCCGTGGGTTTGCGGTGGCCCACTAACACGTGTGCAAGGATTTGCACGTCACTGTCTTTGCACGCGTGCTGCCCAGGGAGCTCACGTCGGAGTTTAATGAACGAGGGCATCATCACCATCATCACGATCACCGCCACTCCTGCCAACATCATCTTCGTCGTCGCCGCCGTCATCTCCATCGCTATCACCATCACTGTCACCACCGTCGCCGTCACCACTGTGCTCAGTACCGTCCTCATATCCGTCATCACCAAACATCATCACCTTGTCTGCCGTCCTGTCCTCATTCATCGCCATCGCCATTATCATCGTTATCCTTTGCGGCATAATCTCTTTCACCACTACCATCACCTTCATGTCATCACCATCATCATCACCAGCACGCTCACCAGCTACACACAGTGGTCACTACACCGGGCAGGTTGGTCATCACATCGGCTGGTTAAAAGTGAAGGAAAACATTGGAATTGTGGAATTCCAACATACAGCCTTCCGTGTAGTCTCGCACTCCCGCTTCACAACAACGAGCACTACATATTGATTCGTTCAACGCTCGCGTTTGGTGGAAGGTCCCACTGGCCGGTGAAGCTGCGCGGCCAGTGTGGGCACGGTTCGGCCGCTGTAAGGTCCAACTTGCCAGACAGCAACTACGCCGCGCGCCCAGGGGGGGGCGGGATGGCGGGCACGCCCCTCGCGCGGATTCGCCGTGGTGAACACGATCTACCGCACCAAGCAGATCCCCAGGGGCCTCTGCGCCCCCGTTTCTCCGCCGCCCAGGGGCGGGGGGGGGGGAGGAAGGAAAGATTGAGGGAGGGAGGGAGGGAGGGAGGGAAGGAAAAGGAGGAGAAGGAGGAGGAGGAGGAGGAGGAGGGAGAGTGGGGATTCTGATCATGATGGTGATGCTGATGATGGTGATGATGATGCTGATGATGCTGGTGGTGGTGATGATGGGGATGGGATGATTATGGCGACGATGATGATCATGTGATGATGG